TTATCACACATACGTACTACAAAAAGGAAATATCAACTTAACCATATTTAGAAATTTCTGTGTCTTCTCTCTGTGGCAGACAAAATTCCTTAACCCCTTAACTGCCACAGAAAACATACAAGATTCTCTCCCCAGTGTCACAGTTTTTTTACACAGACATGCATAGTTACTATCAGAGAAAAATAAGTGCAAGTTTTGCTGTCTAACAACTGTTTACTTTCACAAAATAAAGAATAAAAGAAAATACAAAATTTAATGTTTAGAGTAAAAGTATAATAAATAAATTTAAGTGAATAAAAATGATGTTTGTATAATAAAAATGATGGAAAATAAAAAAAGGATAATAAAAAAGATCCCAAAAAATAGAGCTTCAATCAATTTATTTTTAGACCAGTAAAGCGTAATATCAAATTTCAGCGTTATACCTTGTAAAATCAGTATACCTAAAAAAACACATATTTCTTCTGCAATTGGTTGGATGCCATGATTTTGTTCTTGATTTTTCTTTTGCAGGATGTTGGTTCGTATACTGGTCTGCAAAATGGTTAGTTTCAGTAACAATATGAAAGACAAGCAGATTATCAAAAAATAATTAAAAAAATTAAGTGGGTTTGAAACATTTGTTATATCTTTCTTTATTCCTGACACCTACTACAAACAGTAAACGAAAATGGAATACACGGAATAAAAACAATACATTTTACTCAAACAGAAACATGAGCAATAACCGTGCAGTCGTTACTTTCACCAACCCTACTACATAAAGGAACTACTGCAAACAGTAGACAAAAACAGAACACATAGGATAAAAAAATATGTTTTACTCAAACAGAAAATGAGCAATAATAATTAATGCAGCCATTACTTTCATTTTTCAAACATCCTCCTCTCCAATTCCTAACCCTCCTCCCTTCTCTGAAATAGTATCCTCCTTCGCATACTCTATCAAGGTCATTGTGGTGTTGCATTCCAAAGCTTTGCGAATAATTTTACTGGTAACAGCACAAAGCAAATGATAGTATTTCAGAAGGCATATATATACGCCCAGGGCAGTTAACGCATCAGCTGAGCTAGGTGTGTGCGTGTGCGTGTGTGTGTATATACAGCAGTTAAGGGGTTTACAGAAGCCAAAAACTTTCTAAAATTATTTCAACTAGAATATGCATACTGCCGTCAACACATAAATTCACAAAAAAAAAAAAAAAAAAAAAAAAAAAAAAAAAAAAAAAAAAGAGTAAAAAATATCCTCCGTAGTGCTGAACTGTCAGTGGCATTTCTTGCATGAACCTTTCTTGCAACAAACCCATTCAAAGCTATTTGAATTATCTTTATGTTCAACCATACACATTTCTTTTGTACAAACAGGACACTTATATTGACTACTAAGTAAACCTCCATTTACGCACCAGTCAATTAATGCTTTTTCCCCCTTCGTTCTAAACCATACAGAAACTTCACATTAATCTCATCACATACAGCCATTTTACAGTTTACAGCACAAAATAAGCAATGTACTTCTTAACTGACATCCAACGCAGAAATAAGCCCTTACAAACATGTCTAAGTCAAATTCACCACAATCATGCAATCAATCACGTCATAATAGAGTTTCCATAACATTCAACTACTCAGGTTATCATAAATGAAAGAATTTGGCAATAAAAGAAACAACTTGGCGATAATCCAAGGGAGGACCCTAAAATATAGACTAAAAAAATTACTTTTAAAAAAGTCAATTTCAAAATTTCAATTTTTTACTTTTTTAATGGCCCTTGAACAAGGATAAGATATAAACCATAGCATCCATGTTGGACACAAAAATCTAATTTATCATGACAAAAATAATTACTTTGAAATTTTAAAATCATATACTAGCTCAATGTTGTTAAAAGGTTCAATTATTTAATTAAGATGAAATATGTGAAACTTATTTGCCTAATCATCTAATCTAGTGTTAACTGAAAAAATCCCAGGGATGAGTTCTCAGGATCTCGCATCTGTCTCCATCAAATGTCCACCTCTGATAAAAATTGAAAACTGACAGATTTTAATTGCTCTCATTCTGTAAAGACATTATATAGTCTGAGATTTGAATCCAGGCTCAACAGCTTCTACTACACATCATACTATCAGGCTTGGTGCGAGAACTGGTGCCACTAGTGCAGTCACACTGGGCACCAGAATTTAAGAATGGCAAAATTTTTAAGACTTTTTGAAAAGGAACCAGCAGCAAAATTTAGAAATGCCAAAGTTTTTAGAATTTACTGGAGATACTGAATGGCAGAATTTAGGGTCAGGAAAATTTTTATAATATTGGGAGTTTTCATAATATATTACTGTACAATTGACAGAACTGCAATTCTAATAAATATCAAAATAAAATAATAATCAAATAAATGTTTTTATTTAATTCAGTAATTATGATGAAATATTATTTAGGTTTATGTGATAGTGGCAAAGCCTCGAGGGCTATCTGCCTAAGAAGAAGGATGCCTTCGTAGATGATTTCCTTTGGGAAACTGGCTTATATACATGCTACACACAGAGATAACCACGAACACACTTATGCAGCCAGTCTGTTCGCAGGATCCGAATCTCGGACCAAACTACCAGTGTTCAGTGACTTTACTGCTCGGCTGCTGGTACGTCTGATGAAAGACAGGTGGTTAATCTTTGGATAACTTGGCGATTTTTTGGCAAATATTTGGCGACCAACCCTGCTACAGCAACCAGCTAGTGTTTTTTTTTTTTTTTTTTTTTTTTTTTTTTTTTTTTTTTTTTTTTTTTTTGTTTTTTTTTTTTTTTTTTTTTTTTTTTTTTTTTTTTTTTTCTTTTTTTTTTTTTTTTTTCCCCCAACAATCTGCTAGCCGAATTATGCTTATGCTAGAACTGTTATGGAACAAAATTGCTTAATCATGACGAAGATTAGATGCGAAATTGGGAGAAAGTGCAGAATCGCCCACTACTTGCCGCATTTTTAAGAATTGGACATACACGGTATTATCCATGTACACGTCGACCTATTTTCACTTAAAAAAACATCCCAGAATTGCACAAAAATGGCATTGTGCAGACTCTTGCCTTTATCCATGTACACTGCTAAAGTCCTAGCTAGTAACCTTTATCGCCAAACTACCTGTTACCATATTCCAAAGATTAGCCAGACAGGCTACTTGCCTAAGTATGGTTGGCTTCATTGAAAAACCACAGTAAAACAATTGTGGATTATCTATTATAATACAGACACAGGCATTTTTCAAAAAGACATTCTCCTTAGGACAAGTTAATTTCCAAAAGGGCACTATTTTTTACTTTCTAAGGAGATACTATATTTATATGATATATTAAAATTCAAAATAAATGAATAAAATGTAAAAACCTATGCACTGTCCAGGAACTATTAATGTTTTCATAGAAAACACTAAGAAGAAAATTTGGTACTTTTCCATTTTGCCGGGCAAGTGATAAAGTCGCCAAAAATGGACAACCGATGCCAAACGGAATATCTTCGCTGGTAACGCTTTACGTCTCATTTTCAAAACATGTCGCAGCCATTTTTTATCAGATTGATTGTTTCTTTCAATACTGGCATACAATTACATAGAATTTTTACCAGATAGTTCAATTTTATGCCCTAAGGCCATTCGCGGTAATTAAGTCAATTAGGATGCAATCACATCGCTCACCCGAAGACGAAAGTATAGAAAAGGCAAAATCAAGGGTTAAATTCATCAATTCTAATGAGAATGCACTAGCGAAGTAAAGCACTGCGGTTTTACATAATTTTTTAGTTAAGCTATTCGTACGAACTGAAATAATACTTGCATTTAAACTTGTATTTCACAATAAAATTTAACCTGAAATTACTGTAGATAATTACTGAGAGAATTTTGTAGCATAGTTTATGCAAAGAATTACGTGAGATGAGATCACTTGGGGTCACGTGATATGAACCTGCGAATCAGGATGTTGTACCGTGAAAGCATAGTAAATTCTTAAATTAATGTCTTTTTACAAATTTATTGTCTTTATTTATTGTCTTTTTACAAAATTTTAAACGATATTAAATTGTTTATGCCTTCAAAAAAAAAAAAAAAACCCTTAGAACTAACATGTTGACATTTTTTACGTGTATACTACGTTCGTCACCAATAAAGTGTGCTTGGCGAGATTTGCGCCGGCAAAACGGAAAAGTACCAAAAATTTATTACGGTAACCTTGCATATGAGATTAACCACAAAAATACTCAAGTATTATATTGTACCATCATCAGATATCAAATCCAGACTATAAAAGTACCACATTATGTGTCAGTTTTTATGATTGGTTTCTAAAGTTATCTCTTGGTATTTGACAATATACAAAGTTATAAAATTAACTACGCACACACATGTGTACATAAACAGATATACGTGTACATGAATTCGTAGACACATATATACATTTCAGAATTCCATCCTGATAACAAAACAGCTTGCAAACAGCTCTCCGTGGCAAAAATGAAAAAAAGTCACGTCAGTTATTATGGAAATAGTGTAACTAGATTTTATTTTGCTTTTAATTAACAGCTTTAGAAATACAATTACTTTACTTTACTGTTTCACTTTTAAATAAAGCATCGTATTCCATTTTAAGTAAAACTAAGTCTCTAATACGTTAAAAATGAACAACTGCAAATTATGCGGGCTATACTTTTGCCTCGAGGCAACATGCAATCCAAATACTTGACAGCAAGTATGATTAATCTGAAAATTCTCATAAATGTAAACGAGATAATTTAAGAGAAAAGGGATATATATTACGAAATGACGACTTTACCAAATCTTCTTTGAAGTCGCTATGTAACAGGGTAAAGTTTTGTTCAACCTTTCAGTAAACATTAGACCATTCTATATATACATCCCAGTAATTTAAGAAGGAATACTGCATAAGTACATATATTTCCCTCTTTTTTATAAATAAAGAGATAGAAAAAGCGAAATATATTTCAGCATACCTACAGCATGAAATTTTATTCTTTATGAATATACTGTACTGAAGCTAAAGATATCATAATGATGAACCTGAACTTCTGATTTTTCAGGACGAGTTGAAATACAGACGATTACCGCCATTCATAGGAATGTCAAGTATTGCCAGACGTTAAAACAGTAAATATTTTAAATGTTTTTATTAGTTGGAAGCAAGGTTTTTTAAATATATATTATCTAAAAGCAGAACCCAAAAAATAATTTACAACTAGAATCAAAAACTTGATATCTGAACAAAGTGTTTTTCTCATATATGGAAGTGAGAAAAGAAGCCTGTTTCCCTCCTCGTTTGAAGCAGAACTTAATGAAAGAGGATGTGCCAGTTTCGGTTTCTTTATTGATCAACTAACATGAAAATTGAGCGATCTAATTTATCTAGATGGCTCAATTTTTATCTTGTTTTATCTAAACCTAATTAGATTAGGTTTTTCAAAGAAAAGTACAGGGTGAAAATTATGGAACTATATGAAATAAAACCATCATAACTTCTGAACGGTTTTAGGCAAGGAGCTCCTTGGTTTTAGAAGTGAAGTTCAAATTTCGTGGTTGGCTGCAGGTCACGATGGGAACTAGTATCGCATGAGCACGCAACTTGTTATTGTCGGCCATTTTCAAGTGAAAATGTCTGCTTGCCTGAGCATATAGCGCTTGTGAAGGTTAATTATGAGCGCATTAACAGCCCAATTGCGGCTCAAAGGAAGTTTGCGACCGAGTACAAGCTGAAGACAACCGGTCCAAGTGTGAACAGTCAGAATAATCAAGAATTTGATTTGCGAGTTTGAGAGAACTGATAGTGCTTGTTTGTGATCACAGTGTTGGCAATGTCGGTCAGTAAACAAGTGTGAAAAAGCCTGAAAACATGGAGAAGAGACGCTCTGTGTTTCAAACCAGCCGAGGAAATCCATCAGACGAGCTTCACAGCAGATGGGAATCAACCGAAAGACCCTGCGACAAATTGTTGTTAAAGATTTGCATCTGTTCCCATACAAAATTAAAACCATCAGCAATTAAGGCCCATGGACATGGAAAAGCGGTTGTGTTTCGCCAACACTATTTTTGAGAGAATTGAGGAACAGAAATTTCATGTGAATATAATTTGGTTTAGGGACGAAGCCTACTTTCATTTGGATAGCTTCGTCAATAATCAAACATTTGGGGGTACTGAGAATCTACATTTTGCGCTTGAAAAGTCTTTCACCCTCAACGGACGACGACGAAGAAGATCTTTCTTTATTCCCGAGTGTCAAGATCTTCTTACTTGGCTTCTGATAAGCAATCTAGGGAAAAACGAAAGAATAACAATGTAGTAAGAGGTGTGGAAGGGAGTGAAAAGAGAATCTTGTCCGCGTTAGCGGTGGCGAGAGGGTGAGTGTAGTGTGCAATGATGGCACGGGAGTCTAGTCTGGACACCGGTCGAGATCGATATCGGAAAACCTAAGGCTCCTCTAAACAAACCACACAGTGAGGTTGTGCCAAAGGCAGCAAGCATGAACTGTAAGTAAGTATAGGCAATAAATAAATATGCAGGTAATTAAATTAGGCCCAGTATTATAAAAAACTGAAACAATAAACAAACCATGTCTAACATATCAGCAGCAGCATCTTGTAAGCTTGGGCAGAATTTAATTATCCAATATTTATTTTTTGCCTATAATTTAAAGTGTTCTTTAGAACATTATCCAAAATTTAAATGAAGTAGTGCTTTGCTATAACATTAAAAAACAACTAAAATAAAACTTTATATTTCTTGCTATAGTGCTCTTACAATAGATAAGAAAATAAGAGTTCACTTCACCCAACTTTTAAGATACTAGGCCGATAAATACATTTATAATTAGAGCAGACTATGATTCTTGTTATAATTGTAGTAATGTTTATTGCTCTAATTGAAATATTTAATTTTTAATTCTCTAATCATTCAAAACATAGCCCTAATTTCGGAGCACAGTGCCAACATGCATTTTAAAAAGCATCAAGGCCAGTTTTAAACGACAATTTTTTTAATTACATCGGCCACAGACATATCCAATTAAAGTTATTAAAAACTCTAGAACGTAGTTCAGTAGCTTTCTGAATTTGTAGGCAATTTTTTATTTAGAGATGACAACACAAAATAACGCTTCAGAAAATATTATTTATCATGTATAAAAATCTGTTTTGTAACACAGATCAGTAATAACTATTTATCAATGTCATGAGGCTTTAATTTGACGAGATCACATTCTTTAGAAGTATCAAATTCATGAAAGGATTTTGGCTTGGCCTTTGAAATTCATCATTACAGGCAGATTTATTTGATTGTTATGCATGCATTAAACACTACACATGCATTAAAATCACTACACATGCATTAAAAACACTACAATTATTTTTGAAAAATACGCATGCAGTTTCACAAGTTTTCTGTGCTTATTTGAATGTTCTGCATTCATTTCTAAATCTTTACTCCATTGCCAAATTGTATAATACTGTGACTATAACTATATGGTACTTGCAATTATTGATTAGATTATATATATTTTGTCTCATACTATTCAATTTATTCTACTGACATCAGATGTCAATGTCAAAATTCTGGAAGTTATTTTAACCAAGAAACAGTAGTGGGCACCGTGCATAAACAACTCATCTAACTTTTTAACAACAGTGATTATAAAATAAAGAAAAAAATTATATATCATTCCAACGATATTGCAACTATAGTATAATGTTACATATATCTTTAGCAAACATTCAGATTTTATCTTGACTTTCCAAATTATTATTTATTTTTTAATAAATTTCAATATGCTAATGATTTTCATGTTACATTAGTATAAATTCCACAATTAGCACAGGAAAAAAAATCTGCGCTTTATATTAGAAGAGAAATTTCTTTTCCACATTCAAAACATCCACATTGGCGATGTTTGGCGACGGGTACATTAACCCTAGACTAATTTAATTATAGCTATTATTACACAAATTAGCAGATACTCAGGTTATTGTACACAAGAATTTCACTTTACTTGCACATTATAAACATCAGAGAAGATATAAACTCTAAATGAAGGCGTAATTAACATTATACTTACTAAACAAAGTTCAGCGCCTGGACCAGGTTTCCAATTGTCTCTTCTTGGGTGCAATTATTTACCCATACTTTTTCTTCTTCTTCATTTTTAGGAAATTTTACCAATGTATGACCTTTCCGTGAATGATTTGAACAATTAATAGCTGCACATCCGCCCATTTTACACAAAAAAAACACAAAAAATTGTTGCACCGTAACTACACAGCCGCCATTAAATCTCCCACTTGGGATCGCGAATGCCTGATGATTCAGCCTGGTATATAGGAAGGAGCCTTAGGAAAACCAGTCGGGATTCTCTTTCCACTCGACAGCAGAATGAAGAGCGAGTCTGACCCCTTTAAATTCCGTCGGCGGAAAGTGAAGAGGAAATTCCGTGCGGAAGTGACGTCTGTTGTATAGCAACCAGTCTATCTCACCTCTACATTGCTCCAGGCTCAGGGGAAGGGGATAGTTTGTTGTCAAAGGGGCTGTTTCGCACGTGCTTATTACTGAGGATGGCGGTAGGAAAAAAAAATCGAGTTCGAGTAAATGGTGAAATTTTTCGAAAAAATACGCTGCTGGATTTAGTAAAGAGTATGGAAAAAAGAAATGGGGAACGTTAATGGATATTTTAAAAGCAGAAAGAAATGGCCTTTTCAAAACTTCAGGTATGTGAAGAAACGTAAACATAATTTTACGTATGATCTTTTGCAAAATGGAAATTTTCTAAAAGGTTACATGTTTGTAAACTATTTGTTAACAGGAATTTTATGATTAAAATACATTATTTTGTCTGAAAAGGTTATGCAACAACGTCATAAGTCAAATCATTGAAATATAGCACCGCGTACGCGTGTTTAATATTCCTAATGAATTTGAATCAAAAAAATTTTAATTTTTAGCAACCCATGATTATATCAATAATTTTATTTATTCAGGAATTATACCTATCACGTAGCTACAAATATACTATGTATCGTAGATACCAATAAGCAGTGAGTAAAAATATAACAAACTTTTAACAAAAGTAATAGGAAGAAAAATGAAAAAAAATTAAATAACTATAGGTTAAATCATAAAACATGTTATCTTGCACACACACACACACACATATATATATAAATTTTAACAAAAATGTATATACGTAAAAAAGCAAATTTATAGTTAAAATAATGTGCAAACATATAAAAGAATTAATTTTCGAACTAATTTACAATATCATTTAAATTCAGATTGCATAAGTAAATCACGTGCAAAACCAAAACACGAATATAAATTCACCAATTTAGCAAATTAAAATTAATCTAAATTTTTTTTTAAATGCCTAAGTGAATGACTGTTGAGCAGGCAGGAGACAGACTTATCAAGGGAAAGTTGCCTCCTAACCTAACTCTTCAATCATTCAATTCGTGTTTCGTCATTCATGCAAGCAAGGGTAAAAGGTCAAAACCAAAAGTAGTGAAGATGCAGTGAAAGGAAATTGCAATACATATTCCTATTTATACCCTTTTTAAATCGATCCCACCAGTGACCGTGTGGTAAAATCGCTGAACACTGGTAGTTCGGTCCGAGGTCCAAATACTGCGAACGGGTTTGTTGCATTACCAACATATCTCTGATAACCAATATATCTGTCATTACCAACATATTTCTCGTAATTTCCAAAAGCATAAAAAATTAAGGCATACAAAACCTGTTTTAAATAAATAACTATATGTATATATAAATGTATTATAAATATATTAATATATGCAGTGAAAGGAAATTGCAGTACATATTCCTATTTATGCCCTTTTTTAAGTCGATCCCACTAGTGGCCGAGCGGCAAAATCTCCGAACACTGGTAGTGCGGTCCGAGGTTCGAATCCCTCGAACGGGCTGAACGCATGGGCGTCAAACAATGATCTGTCATTACCAATATATCATTGGTTATGACAGATACATTGACATATCAGTTACATTGATATATCTGTCATTACCAATGATATATTGGTAACTTCCAGAAGCATAGAAGTTTAAGGCACAGAAAATCTGTTTAAAATATATATATATATATATATATAACTGTATAAATATATTAACAGATGCAGTGAAAGAAATTGCAGTACA